CCAAATTAATAACTAGTGCTGTACATGTATGACCCCAAATTAATAACCTGTACTGTACATGTATTACCCCAAATTAATAACCAGTTTTTAGTTTGTTTGAAAACCAAATAAATTTGACAAGGCCTCTTTTAAACATGTAAATGGTATTAGAAAAAATCAAAATGGATCATCAACAATAACTCATATCATAATATAATTCAAATAAATTCAGTCATTTAAAATGTTAGAAAAATGTTTAAAAATCAAGCTTACATTTGTTGTTTTGGACTTTTTTCTCCATGGCAGGTTTTTAGATTGATCCCCATAATCGTAGCGTAACTCCTCTCCCCTGACTATTTCTTTGAGGGCAAATAATGCCAAATGGGGATTACCATCCACATGAATACGCCTCATAATAGAATTTTTTTCTCTGCCAACGCCATCATTGACATACCTGCCCATTAATTTTGAATTTGTAGCATCAATGCTGAAAAATGAAATTTCACAATAAACATTCATTGTCAATGATCAATTAGCAGTTTTGTAAAGCCTGTCATGGCATATTATACAATATTGTACAATTAGTAGTAAATTGATCAAAATATACAAGAGCTAGTACTGGACATGAAAAATACCTGTGTCAATGCAGATGTTAGCATCCATATGTCACCCTACAGCCTTCAACAATGACCAAAACCCAAAACATGACGAAAAATGTAAAAAATATCAAAAGAATCAACTGTTGACACAGAGATGTGTTTAACCTTTTTGAAATTTTGATAGTATAATAAAAATATTGAAATTAAAATGGAAATATCATGTACCCTATGCAAAACAATCAAATTCAATGAACCATAGTTGAAAGTGCTGGTGCAAACTATTCAAATACATGTAATTCAAGCAAATGTTTTAAAGCCATTAGACAATAACTGAGGGGTATTGAGCCAAATATTCACCATTGATATTTGATGTGCCAATGCTTATACATCTGTACAGGCCTCGACAATAACGCTTGTCCGATTGTCCGGTACCAGAGGAAAAAAAGGTCGGACAAGTAAAAGCTATATCAAGCTTGTCCGACGGGACAAGTAAAATTATTCTGCAGAAAATAAATTTAATCCAACTTTGATGAACAAAGTAGTTATAAACAAAAAACAAGAAAAGAAGATAAAAACAAGTATTAAATTGACATGTTTACTTGCAAACCGATAATTTTAAACTGGTTCTTTGTCAGGTACTTTTTAATAAATAAAAGGCATACTATTCTCGGAAACCAGTTTTACTGATCCGAATCAGCAATGCGCTTTGTAGAAAAGGTTACTTTACAAGACAGTTCTTCACCAGCTCGGAAACGATTCGGCTCCTAAGTTTAATAGACAGTTTGGCACCGTAGGAGACATATTTAATAGATATGATTAATAGACAGTTTGGCAACGCAGGAGACAATTCCAGGAAACAATTGGGACCAAGAAAAAATCAGTACCTGGTTTCCCACCTTATTCTGTTGCTTTATATTATTATAATAAATACCATACCGGTAATTTTTTTAACAAAAATATTTTTTAAATAAAAATGAAGAAATCATTTACCATAATATTCACAAAATCATATTTGATCATATGTAGAAAGAAACAATACTTGCAATTCAGTGACCTATAGTTGTTAATTTCTATGTCATTTGGTCTCTTGCAGAGAATTGTCTCATTGGCAATCATACATCATCTTCTTTTTTTTATTGATTGCATTTGAATAATCTTTTTTCAACTTAAACAACCAGGATACAAATCCAATGAGTGAACATTGACAGGCCTATCAGACGGTGCCTCATGTGCAGAGTCTGATGAGACTTTGGCATTGATGAAAACTAGAACCTAAGCCCTGTGACATGACTAGATTCAGTTGTTCTCGACTCATATTTTTGAAAAGTATTTCAAAAGATATAAATCAAATTCTGTTCTATTGTTTTAATTCATTTTGTTCCTTGAATCAACTTATAAGGCAAAAAAGTTTATTATTAAGATTTGTTTTGGACAAGTTACAATTTCATTCGGACAAGTAAGTTTTGGGTTGTACTTGTCCTACTGGACAAGTTGAAAAAAAAGTTATTGTAGAGGCCTGCTGTATACCAAATATCAATAACTTACAACAAGTGGTTCCCCTTAAACTGACCTAATCATATCATAGTATCAAAGAAACAGACTTAACCAGAAAAAACTATAAACATTGACCAATGAACTATGAAAATGAAGTCAAGATCAGAGAATCCTACCAAACAGACAGACACCATGTCCTTTTTTCCATATGTACACCTTACAATCATTACATACACCAAATATAGTTGACCTATTTCTTATTCTTGTATCTGAGATTAGGACCAAATTTCAGAAACTTAACATTGACCAATGCTACAGTTGACACAAAAAAAAATGATCATGCTGCACAGAATGTTTTTGAAACAATGGAGAACTAGACATCATTGAGATGGGAGCCATCTCTGTGGTCCCTGCTGTAAATAACCTGTGGTAAAAAATTTGTATCTTTACCTAAGGACATGGGGTTGTGAACTGAAAGTTTTTGAGCTTGACCTTTGACCTAGGAAGTTGTAAATACATTATGACACACCCTCTGGTAGTGGTTAATATACATATGTCAAGTATAAACTTTGAAATCATAACGGTTGTCAAGATATAGAGCGGACACGATCTTTACCATAGGACATGGGGTTGTCAACTGAAACCAAAGTTTTTGACCTTGACCTTTGACCTTGGAAGTTGTACATACATTATGACACACTTTCTAGTGTTGGTTAATATATATGTCAAGTATCTATAATATTATATGAGAAGACCTCATTTTGTGTGTTGCTTTCCAAGATAAATTAATCATCATGCCTCTGTGTCCCATAGGTATCATGCATAGTCGTGTTTGTCATCCTCACTTTTCATTATTCAGTTTGGGTTATTTTTGGAGGAAAATGAAAAATAAAGGCATTCAGATATTGTGTCCGTCATCCGACGGACTTTAAAGCCATAGACAAGACCTCCTTTTAGGACTGTTTTAACATTACACATAATTTTCATAAGTACTTGGGGACAGGACAATTATTTACGTGTTTTTCTGTATACTATGATCATACATATACTATAAATAAAGTGTATTTGCTATTTACTATCATTTATATTATATAGAGTCTCTTTATTATGTACAAGTGACCGCCGTGCATAGTAAACTAGGAATTGAATGATAGTAAATAGCAAATATAATTTACTTATGGTACATGTTTGTTCATAGTATAAAGAAAAACGTGAAAATAATTGAAATTAATAGAAAAAAATAACGGACTGTGGAAAAAAGGGAAGGGCTAAAAACTCATCCTACAACAGTTTACATAATTTCAACAATGCTCTAAATGCCTGCAATTTCGCGGGTGTGTTCTAGTTAACTTTGAAATCATAATGGTTCTAAAGATATAGAGCAGACACAGTCTGCGCCATAGGACATGGGGTTATCAACTGAAACCAAAGTTTTTGACCTTGAACTTTGACCTAGGAAGTTGTACAAACATAATGACACTCCCTCTGGTGTTGGTTAACATACATGTCAAGTATAAAGTATGAAAGTACATGTATGAAGTTTCTCTAGACATAGAGCGGACACAATTTGTTAGGTGTGGACACTGGACAAACAGACAGAAAGATGGATGGACTGACTGACTGATCACTATAGGGCAACCTGCCACTAGGCGGGGCCCTAATGATCTTTACTACTGTGTAGCATCATCACCTGATATAGGCACTCCAGAAGCAGTTGAAAAAACAAATGGGTAGTCAGGACAAGGTCAAATTCTTCTCATTTTCATAATATTCTACGTTTTGCTGACAAGTAAAGTTTTCTGATACTGATTCCTAATACATGTAACATAGCCATTATTTGGGTCTGATTATGATCCTTTAATGACCTTTTCTCTCTCAAATCTTCAAAATCAGAACTGGTGGTAGCTGTTCAAAGAAGGATGTAACAAGTTGAAACTCATTTAAACACATTTATCCTTCAACTATTCTTTTGAGGTATTTGTAGAACAAAGTTATATTATATTTAAGCTTGAACAATATTGTGACATAATTAGTTTTTATCTATTGTTTTCTGAGAATTTCATGTAAATGAAGTGAATAAATTGTACAGCAAAATGCTTTTTTTTCATCTTTTGCAAAGTTCATATCCTCTTACATTTTTTTTATTTTTGAACATGCATGAAATATTTGCCACTAGACATTAAGCTACCAACAATCAATCAATTATACAATTCAATAATATCATGTGCACAACTAGTACTGTAATATGTGTTCAATAATTCTGTGAAGTTTAAGGGATCTAAATTTAAAATTGAAGGCAGAATTGTTTACACAAAACAGATCCCTCTTTTGTTAACTTTGCCAAAAATTATAACCAAGTTTGGAAAAAGGGAAAAAATTCCTTTAACAATTCCATAATAGCAAGTGTACAATATTTCTGTCAAGTTTCAATTGCTACACATTATATTGCTAAATCAACATCGTAAGGGTACTGTCACCTGCATTTGTAAAGATGATTACTGTAAGATCTAAATAATCACTTATTAATTGTGATGTACATGTGAGTATGTTAAAATTGTGTAGACATTTTAAATACACAAAATGTTGTTAAAAAGTAAATGTCAATATTTCAAACCCTAGCAAATTTTTATAAGCATTTTTTTTATTCTTTTTATAAAAAGGAAAAAACATCTCTCTTACCCCTCCCCCTGAAATTACAATCTGAATGATGAATTAAAATGTTTTCTCACAAAATATGCTTAGAATAATCCTGAAAAGTCACAACATCATCATTTTGAAACAAAAAACAATGCAGCTTTCTTACCTCAGCTTCTGATCCTCATTATCTCTAAAAAAGAAAACATAACATCCATGGCCTTTTCTTACATGGCTGTCAAGTCTCCTGTCTCCTTTTTCGCTGGACATCAACTTGCCTTCATACTCAAGTAGAAATTCTCCCTTCATAAAAGCTCTTGTTGTAAAGACCCCTTTTCCTGAAATGAAAAAGAATTGCTTATATCTACTTAATACAATAAAATGCTTCGCTGATTGCAGCCTGATATGACTGCAGAAGTCGAAACCTGAACAGATGGGGCAAGTTTGGACATAATATTCAAGATTGATACTGTCTGTTGGATTGTGATCAAATTTTTGACATAATATAGGTTTCTGACACAAAATAGATGTGGTCAAAGATCTTAAAAATCTATTACGCAATACTGTGCTATTGCGTAATATTATTCAATTGAAGATTTCTTCTTGAAACTTTTCAAAAATTTGAAATTCAAAAATTTTGGAAAAAAAAAATAACTTTAACAATTCCATAATAGCAAGTGTACAATATTTCCGTCAAGTTTCAATTGCTACACATTATATTGCTAAATCAACATCGTAAGGGTACTGTCACCTGCATTTGTAAAGATGATTACTGTAAGATCTAAATAATCACTTATTAATTGTGATGTACATGTGAGTATGTTAAAATTGTGTAGACATTTTAAATACATATTTTGTGAGAAAACATTTTAATTCATCATTCAGATTGTAATTTCAGGGGGAGGGGTAAGAGAGATGTTTTTTCCTTTTTATAAAAATTTGCTAGGGTTTGAAATATTGACATTTACTTTTTAACAACATTTTGTGTATTTAAAATGTCTACACAATTTTAACATACTCACATGTACATCACAATTAATAAGTGATTATTTAGATCTTACAGTAATCATCTTTACCCCCCCCCCCAAAAAAAAAAATTGGGAAAAAAAAAATACCCCCAAACTTTTTGACCCCCCTTGGAGTAATTACCCCCAAACTCAATCACAGCCTTCCCTTTGAGTTATGGCACCTTATAGTACAACTTTAGAGAGATCCATACATTTAAACACAAGTTGTTGTCTGGAAACTAGAAAAATGCTTGTTTTTGGTCACTTTTTGGCCTCTTAATATGGAACCTTGTGGTATAATTTCAGAGAGATCCATACACTAACACACAAGTTATTGTCCAGAAACTACAAAAATGCTTGTTTTTTGGCCCCTTTTTAGCCCCCAATTCCTAAACTGTTGGTACCATAACCCCTAAAATCAATCCCAACCTTCCTTTTGTGGTATTTAACCTTCTTGTAAAATTTCATAGAGATCCATTCACTTAAACTAAAGTGATTGTCCAGAAACCAAATGTGTGTTTAGATGACCACGACGACAACCACATCATAGCATTATACAAACCCAAAAATTTTTTTGCTGTCGTATAAAAACTGAAATATTCATGTAGTCTGGTAGTTCCTTCTATATCTAATTATGATATCAGAAAGTGAATAAAACTAAAGGCTGTAAAGGGTATTTGTTGCTCACAGAGGTCTATGTGCATCTTCCACAATGGGGACAAAAAAGTGTAAAAAAAATTGTCATTTAAAGGGAAATAACTCCAATAAAGAGTGATCCGATAACTTCAGGCATGTGAATTATTTGTAGCTCTAGTCTTGCTGATCAATTTTGCTATCCAATTTTCTCTCTATCTACTAGTCTTTTTAAGATTATAGGAAAAAATGAACAAAAATTGGTAATAATTCCTATAAGTCATCTGACAGTTTAGATGAAAATAGACAATAAGTAAATTTTTCCACATTCTGAACATTTTCTCTAATACCGCCACCGGCAGATCACTATCGCTATGTCGAGCTTTCTGAAACAAAAAAAAGATGTGGTATGATTGATACAACTCTCCAGCAGAGGCCAAATGAATTAGAAGGTTAGCATCTATAGGTCACTGTTACATATAATGACCTTCAACAATGGGCAAAGCTCAAAAGCAAGCTTTAAACGTCACCGAAATGAAAAATGTAAAACAATTTAAATGAGAAAACTTATTTTCATCATCAGCATTACAGTAACCTTCATACTAAAAGTATAATATAAGTGTATGATGTTAAATTTTAAAATTTAATTTAAAAAATAATATTTATATGCTCGACAAAAACCAAAACACAAAAACTGAATTTTAACCACTGAACTATTAAAATGAAGTCAAGGTCAGATGGCACCTGCCAATTGCAGCAATTTTTCCATTTGTAAAGGGGCATAACTCTAGAACAGCAAAAGTGATGCCACCAACCTTCAAACTCAATCTGTGTTTTGTAGAAGTTAGCATTGTGTATAAGATTCATTACATTTTTTTGAGGCAAACTAAAGTCACGAGAACTGAAACAAAAATTCAGCAATATTCCATTTGTAAAGGGGCATAGCTCTAGAACAATAAAAGTTACCCCACCAAAATTCAAACTTTATTTGTGTTTTGTTGTAATAAGCATTGTTTATAGTTTCATAGTTGACGCAATCTTAAGTTAGAGAAAGGAAACCAATTTTGGGGCATACCAACAGACGGACGGAAGAACAAGGGTAAAACTTAATGCCCCTCTGATACGGTGAGGGCATAAAAAATAAAGCTCATTTGACGCTAACAGTAGTGAAAAAGATACGTTTGATGCTTGACAAAAATTGCCATTCCTACCCTTATTACTATACTATATATAAAAATATTAATTTTCGCGAACCATTTAGGTCACGGAAATTCCAAAAAATCCCAAGAGTAAGGAGAGTTGTACAAATAATGTGAAAATACAGAACCCCGATCCAATTCATCTTTTGCTTTTGGTTGCATATAATTTCTGTATAAATGCTTTTTCCCTTCAAAATAGTATTACAAAATGTACATGTATGACAGTATGTATTCTATAAAGTACACGTATTTCTAAAATGCACATTGAGTGGTCCCAAGTAAGGAGTATTATGTTTGTAACACTCAGAAACGTGATGTCTATCCCCCAAACCTGTCCTTTGTATGATAATGAACAATAAAACGCTACGTATGAAGCCAAAACGTATCCCTGCACTATTAAAGTTCATCAAGTGTCTTCGTGATCGTCAAGATGAACTAGAAATAAATAATGTTTGTTCCAAAAAGAACTTAATAACATTTGTGTCATTTCTCTAATGACAGAAGTGCTGATTATCAATTATAAGAATTTAATTTGCTAAAATGATTGGTGCAATAAAGCATTATTTTTTTTTTCAACCAATCGCTCAACATAGGAACGGAAGTGACGACGCCCCTAAACGCAAGAAAGATGTTCACTTAAACCAAAGTTTTTGAGAGAAATGCAATTAACTCGAAAGTTGTCTGTTTGTTTTGTCTTGCTGCAACAAAGTCCCCAAAGCTTAACTAAGGTACAAAAAAATGTATGCTGTTTTTGGCATAGCCAATGAGTTAACAATTTGTTAAAGATTATAATTACAATTTTTGACTCAAATATATTAATCTTTATTGACTATGATTGTCAGTCTTCCAACCCATGTTTTGTATGTTCTCTCTGGCTTTCTCCTTCTATGAAATAAGTCCACATTACTGTTTGTTTACATATAGGTTATTTTAACAGGAAACACTCAAGAGAAGTCAGATACATGGTATGTGCATGTACTATAATGCAGCTGAAGGAGCATTTGAATATCTCATTCTTTTGCCCCCAAAAAATATTGGTTAGTTTATATTACAGAGCTCCAGATCTAGATAAGCTGCATATTTGCGTGATTACACAATAAAAACAATTGAAAACCTAATGCAATTGACTATTGCAGCGTTCAAAAACCCAATTCATGCAAAGGAAAACCCAATTATGTATGAAAACCATGGGTTCTCAACCCTTCTAGTCGTTTTCCTGTGCGTTATTTACCCTAACCTATACATTATCTTCACGTAAATCTATTTTTGTAATATTTATAACTGGAAATCTCCTTTTCCAAATATAGAGTGTTACATGTACATCAAATAGTTGATCTGGGTCCCTGTTTAAATTGTCTGTTGCTCAAAATGGTAAACTTGCTGATGTAAATAGATTTCGATCTTCTCTGTGTTTATCAACTTAGTGTAAGTGATCATATTATTTTGGTATTGCTCGGGATTTATGACAATGAAATTATGAATGAATTAAAACAAAAGTAAATTTCCGCTAAAAATATTGAATAGAAGCATGTTTTCATGGAGTGTGTGTCCAAGCGAGAACATCTCTATGTTCATTACTTTAGAAATATTTATTTAAAACACAGATTTCACTATTCAGCCCCATTAAGCGCCAGCTGAGGCAGGATTTTCTCGCTGCATTGAAGACCCATTGGTGGCCTTTGGCTGTTATCTGCTCTTTGGTTGGGTTGTTGTCTCTTTGACATATTCCCCATTTTCATTCTCAATTTTATTTTTTACAGAGATTATCTTTAGTGCCGTGTGGAGACAGTAGAGTGCCTCCCCATGTTTCAGGTTTATGCTATTATAATATACTAGATAATGGAGTGTGTGTCTGAGCGAGAACATCTCTATGTTCATTACTTTAGGAATATTTATTTAAAACACAGATTTCACTATTCAGCCCCATTAGGGGCCAGCTGAGGCCCACCTCTGGGTGCGGGATTTTCTAGCTGCATTGAAGACCCATTGGTGGCCTTCCGCTGCTATCTGCTCTTTGGTCCGGTTGTTGTCTCTTTGACATATTCCCCATTTCTATTTCCAATTTAATTTTTACAGAGTTTGTCTTTAGTGCTGTGTGGAGACAGTAGGTTGCCTCTCCGTGCTTCAGGTTTATGCTCTTATAATATACTAGATAATGGAGTGTGTGTCCAAGCGAGAACATCTCTATGTTCATTGCTTTAGGAATATTTATTCAAAACACAGATTTCACTATTCAGCCCCATTAGGGGCCATCTGAGGCCCACCTATGGGTGCGGGATTTTCTTGCTGCATTGAAGACCCATTGGTGGCCTTCCGATGTTATCTGCTCTTTGGTCGGGTTGTTGTCTCTTTGACATATTCCCCATTTTCATTCTCAATTTTATTATTCTAGCTTCTTTTTGATAGCTGAGGGATAGTTATGATAACTAGACTCAGCTAGTGTTATCAGGAAGCGTTCCTTGGACGCACGGGTTCATGCATAGCTCATTCAGACAGAAA